ATCCCCATGGCCATGTGATCAAAATCTGGACTTTTGGCAACTGGCATCTCTTTACTGCTTTTGCAAACTTCTGACAAGCAAAGTCAGTGGGGGAAGTCACTTAACAACTGTGTTACTAACAACTGCGGTGATTCACTTAACACCTGTGGCAAGAAAGGTCGTAAAATGGGGGCACAACTTGCTTAGCAATGGAAATTTTGCTCTCCATTGTGGACAGAAGTCGAGGACCGCCTGTAAATCTTTGCTGTTTGGGGCTATTTTTCTTTTGAACCAAACCCTCTTCTTCTTATTTCTCCAGGATTTCAGTGTCATCTATGGGCATTGTCCAGAGATCACAGTCTACACCGGTTGCTGTTACTTTCCAAGTGCGGGACAACTCCACACTCTCTGGACAGAGAATAAGAAATCTCTTCTCAGCATGCTGGTGGAGGTGAGTTTTGATGCCCTGTCGCTGGATGTCAATTCTAACTTTTGTTTGCAACTGCTCCAAAAGCAATGGAGATGAGGTGCGATTTAAGAATCGGATCTCATGGACCTCTTAAACACAGAGAATAGGAAATATAAGCACGGTGGGGAGAGGGGCACGTTGATAAGCTGGGACAAAGGAATTTTCTCTCGCACTAAAGATCACTAAAACATAAGGAACGGTTGCTGGAATTGGGTATGTCTAGTTTAATGAAGAGAAGGACGAGGGGGGACAGGATAGCAGTGTTCCAATATCTCAGGGGATGCCCCAAAGAAGAGGGAGTCAAGCTATTCTCCAAGGCGCCTGAAGGCAGGACGAGAAGCAACAGATGGAAACTAATCCAGGAGAGAAGCAACCTGGAACTAAGGAGAAACTTCCTGACAGTGAGAACAATTAACCAGTGGAACAACCTGCCTTCAGAAGCGGTGAATGCTCTAACACTGGACGTTTTTATGAAGAGACTGGACAGCCATTTGATCTGAAATGGTATAGGGTTTCCTGCCTGAGCAGGGGGTTGGACTAGATGACCTACAAGGTCCCTTCCAACTTGATGATGATGATGATGATGATGATGTCATTTCCCATCACTTGGTGGGGAAACGGCTTTATTTTTCATGCCACTCAGGATAGGGCCTTTATGCTGGCAAGAGCAGCGGTCCTCAACCTTTCTGGCTTGGCCCGGCACGGGGGGTGGTGGTGAAGGGGAATAGTTGGGTGTGAGTGGTAGGTGCGCATGAGCATGCACAGCTGCATTTATGCCAGTGCAAGCGCCCACCGCTCATGCAAATGCCCGCTGCTCACTCAAGTGGAGCTTCGTGTGCACGTTCACCGCTTGCGCAAACTGGTTCCAAATGGGCCACTGCCCGAGGGTTGGGAACCCCTGGGCCAGAGTACTTAATAATAATGATGATGATGATGTTGGAAGGGACCTTGGAGGTCAATCGAGGACTACCTGTATTTTATCACTTTTTTCCTTTTTTGGTCAAGTTTTTGACACCTTGCTAGGCGACTGATGGTATTCGGATATTGCCATATCCTAAAAGTGGTACAATGGGTGAAAAGGTTGAAAAGCCCTGATCTAGCCCAACCCCCTGCTCAGGCAGAAAACCCTATATACCATTTTGGACAAATGGCTGTCCAGTCTCTTCTTAAACAGTTCCAGTGTTGGAGCATTCACAACTTCTGGAGGCAGGTGGTTCCACTGATTGATTAATTTACAGAATAACAGGGATCTTGGAGGTCTTCTAGTCCACCCTCTATCATTTCAGACAAATGGATGTCCAATCTTTTCTTAAAAACCTCCAGTGATGGAGAAGGAAGGAAGGAAGGAAGGAAGGAAGGAAGGAAGGAAGGAAGGAAGGAAGGAAGGAAAGAAGGAAGGATAGCAGAATAATAGAGTTGGAAGGGACCCTGGACCATTTCAGACAAATGGCTGTCCAGTCTCTTCTTAAAAACTTCCAGTGTTGGAGCATTCACAGTTTCTGGAGGCAAGGAGTTCCACTGGTTAATTGTTCTAACTGTCAGGAAGTTTCTCCTTAGTTCCAGGTTGCTTCTCTCCTTGATGAGTTTCCATCCGTTGCTTCTTGTCCTGCCTTCAGGCGCTTTGGAGAATAGTTTGACTCCCTCTTCTTTGTGGCAGCCCCTGAGATACTGGAAGGCTGCTATCATGTCCCCCCTGGTCCTTATAGCCTTTTCAAAGAGGCAGGGATGCAAACAAATTGAAATTATTGACACAAAAATTTGCAGTAAGACAGCTACCCTTAGAACAGTGGTTCTCAACCTGTGGGTCGGGACCCCATTTGGGGTCGATCGACCATTTCATGGGGGTCACCAAGCAAGGCTGTCCACCATTTTTTTGTCCGCCATTTTTTCCCCTTTTCCGGCGGGTGCCTTACCTCCCTTGGGCTGGGCCAGCTGGTGGTCGGCCTGCTCCGTCTCTGCCGCTTGCCAGCTACGCCTCGGCTGGCGCAGGGAGTGGAACCACGCATGTGCGGCGCTCCCGGGCAGGGAAAGTCCTCGACTTACGACCGGTTGGGTAGTCCTCGACTTACGACCAGTTTAGTCCTCGACTTATGACCGGTTTAGTCCTCGACGTACGACCAGTTGGGGTCGCGGCATTAAAAAGGTTGAGAACCACTGCCTTAGAAGGTCGTAACACAGAACAGTCAAAATGCCAATAGGGCGGATAAACAGAAACCTCTTCAGTTGACACAAAAGATCTATGTGTTATTCTGTAGAGAATCTTGTAAAAGTAGTCCTTGATTTACGACTGGCTCGTTAACTCAAATAGACTCAAAAAAAGTTACTTACAACTTGTCCTTGAAGTTATGACCGCTATACCACCTTTACGGTCACATGATCACATTTCGGCTGCTTAGCAACCAATAACTCCTATTTACGATTGGCTGCAGCACCCCTTAGTCAATGTGATTGCATTTTGCAATTTTATTTTATTTTATTTATTTTATTTTCTTTTTGCAGTTTTCTGGCCACTGGATAAGTTGGATTTGGTCTTACAGCCACCTGATTCACTTAATGACCGATGACTCACTTAAGGACCGTTATGACAAACGGTCGTAAAATTGAATCTACTCACGTGGTGATTCAACTTTACAGCCGCAATGACTTACGGGCCTGGCCTAGGGAGGATTTTAAATCGGGTTTATCTTAAGAGTAATTTTAAATAGCACAGCTTTAAATATTCGGTTTTAATTGGTTTTACTTGGGTGGGGTTGTAAATGTGTTTATGTTTTTTAATATGTTGTGAGCCGCCCTGAGTCCCGTTGGGAGAAGGGCGGGATATAAATCAAATAAAATAAATAAATAAATAAATAAATAAAAATTCTGAGCTTAGTTATTGTAAGTCGAGGACTATCTGCGTTCCATACACAAGAAAATGTGTATGTGTGTACAACGATTACACAGGATGCATTTTCCTTCATAGAAAACACAAGTAATTGTGTTTCCTGCCCCATCCCCGCCATCTTTCTTCCAGGTTCACAAAGGAGTCTATGGCTTTGTCAGAGACAAGCACGGCCGACCGGTATCCAAGGCCCAAATTGTGTTCAACGATGGGATAAAAGTGTGCACCAAGGAAGGTGGCTATTTCCACGTGCTTCTCGCTCCAGGCTATCATAAGATCCAGGCCATAGCGGAAGGCTATCAGCAGCAGCATGTCCGGGTACGGGGAAACTCTTTCTGTTTTAGCGTGGCTCCACTTTGGAATAAATGCAAGGTGAAATTAGGTGGCATAACTGGAAATCCAGATAGGTAGGTAGGTAGTAGGTAGACAGATAGACCAAACCATATCTATTATGTGGCTGTAATTGTTTCTGTATATGTGAGATAAATAGATAAACAGACAGAAAGACAGATAAAAAGAAAGAAAGAGAAAGAAAAAGAAAGAAAGAAAGAACAACATCTATTATGTGGCTGTAATTGTTTCTGTATATGTGAGATAAATAGATAAACAGACAGAAAGACAGATAAAAAGAAAGAAAGAAAGAAAAAGAAAGAAAGAGGAAAAACATCTATTATGTGGCTGTAATTGTTTCTGTATATGTGAGATAAATAGATAAACAGACAAAAAGACATAAAAAGAAAGAAAGAGAAAGAAAGAAAGAAAGAGAAAAACATCTATTATGTGGCTGTAATTGTTTCTGTATATGTGAGATAAATAGATAAACAGACAAAAAGACAGAAAGAAAGAAAGAAAGAAAAAAACATTTATTATGTGGGTGTAATTGTTTCTGTATATGTGAGATAGATAGATAGATAGATAGATAGATAGATAGATAGATAGATAGATAGATAGATAGATAGATAGATAGATAGATAGATAGATAACCGTATCTATTATGTGGGTGTAATTGTTTCTGTATATGTCTGATGATAGATAGATAGACAGACAGAGAGACAGACAGATAGATAGATAGATGATAGATAAAACCATATCTATTATGTGGGTGTAATTGTTTCTGTATATGTGAGACAGACAGACGTTAGGTAGGTAGGTAGGTAGGTAGGTAGGTAGGTGGGTGGGTGGGTGGGTGGATGGATGGATGGATGGATGGATGGATGGATGAAATCTGGATCTGAACTATTGGCAAAGGACGTATAGTTGCTTTCTGCCAGCTGCCACCTTACGCTCACCTGGGCCTTGCAACCATGCGGTGACAGTCTGCCATGGCCTGTTGGAAGGGAAGATGAAGGGAAAGTGTTGCTTGGGGGAAATCAGAAGTAGAAGCCACCTCAAGCTGCTTCAAGGTCACCCAGCTGGGAGAAGGAGGCAGCCGCATACCAACCTGGGCTAAGACCGGCCCTTACAGAAACCCCTTGCAGGAACTTGATTGGTGGGAAGCGAGAGGCAGATGCAGGGGGGGAAAAGTAGAACGTAGTGATTTTGACACATGAATCTCAGTCTTGTCTTTTCATTACTGCCTTACCACTTGACCTCCCATAAAATTACACCTTTTCTCAACAAAGGGAGCCAAGGATAGTTTTTACTTAGAGACTTAAAGTGTGGCAGGTTTGACGCCTCCACATTTAATGTTACCACGTTAGATAGGTGGCACCAGGCTAGAAAGCAGGAGATCGTGAGTTCAAGTTCTACCCTTAGGCAGGGGTAGGCAACCTTGGCTCTTTTATGACTCGTGGACTTCAACTCCCAGAATTCCTGAGCCAGCCATGGCTGGCTGGCTCAGGAATTCTGGGAATTGAAGTCCACGAGTCATAAAAGAGGCAAGGTTACCTACCCCTGACCTTAGGCATGAAAAGCAGCTGGGTGACTGAGCCAGTCCCTCTCGCTCAGCCCAACCCACCCCACAGGCTTGTTGAGGGGGGAAACTAAGATAAGGAAGGTTGGATAAGTTAATTTGTAAAAAATAAAGGCAAGATGCAAATAAATAAACAAACTTTTCAGAGTTTATAGATGGGCCTTTAGTCTTTGTATCATTCTCCGTGCATATACTTAAGTGGACTTCAACTCCCAGAATTCCTGAGCCAGCCATGCTGAGGGGAAAGGGAGAAGTTTCCAAGCTGAGCCAAGCTGGCTCAGGAATTCTGGGAGTTGAAGTCCACCAGTCATGAAGGGGGCCATAGTTCCCCCATGCTGGCTCAGGAATTCTGGGAGTTGAAGTCCCAAGTCATGAAAGGGGCCATAGTTCCCCCATGCTGGCTCAGGAATTCTGGGAGTTGAAGTCCACCAGTCATGAAGGGGGCCATAGTTCCCCCATGCTGGCTCAGGAATTCTGGGAGTTGAAGTCCATCAGTCATAAAAGAGCCAAGGTTGCCTACCCCCTGGTCTAGTGGAAAGTAGAACATGGTGAAAGCCGGCTGATAGGCAGACCTTGGACCAATCACCAGGAGTCTGAGTTCTAGTTCCGCCTTAGGCATGAAAGCCAGTCTCTGTCCCAGCCCACACTACCTCATCAGATTGTTGTAGGGAAAACTGGAATAGGAGGGAGCATTTGGGTACGTTGTAAAAATAATTAAATATCTCGAACCTGCATCTCTGGTTAATTTGAGTCCTTTTCTACCTTCCTTTTAATCCGTCTTTCAAACCAGCTGTCCCCAACCTTTCTTGGCAACAGGGACCGATTTTGGGGAAGACCATTTTCTCACGGACCGGGGGATGCCGGGGGGGAGGAGGAGCGCACGACCCTACTGTAAACTGTGCATGTGAGATCCTTCACATGCACAGTTTACAGTAAGATTGTGCAGCCTGATTTCTTAACAGGCCATAGACTGGTACTGATCCGTGGCCCGGTGGTTGGGGACCCCTTGTCATGGTTCCGACAGATGAAACTCTTCAAAAAACTTTTGAGGCATTGTTTACCTTAAAGAATCTTTATTGGAGAAGCATAACATCGGCACTAACACAATCGAAGCCAAAAACTGAATTCCCCTCCCCTGAGCACATAGTATCAAAGCACAATTCCCTCCTCCAATTACAGTAACTGTCACAAATCACATTCTCCAATTAGTTTGAAATGCAGGCTCTCCCTCCATTTCTCCAGCCCAATTCTTATCATCTCTTATTTCATTAACCTTGATTCTCACGCTAGGTCTAGTGTTGTTATGTCTAGCTGAACTCTCATGCACAATCCTCCCCCCCCCCAGCATCATCTAACTCTTGTCAAAGCAAAAACATCCGATGTTAGCAGCCTTGACACCCCTCTTTTAAACACAACAACTGGAGGTCAGGGCTGACTCTTTCTGCTCCAATGAGAAAGTTACTTCATGGCAGGCTGATTTGCTTATGTGCGGTGTGATTCCTTGAACGCCCTGAGTGCATCCACATGATTGTTGAAACATGCACTTTTATCTTTATCTTTTTCAGGTCTTGGTTCGTCATGACATGGCCAGCTTCCTGCGTATACAGTTTGACATAGACAACAAGGTCTTTGGTCTTCCAAGAGAGTTGGTGGTTACAGTAGCAGGTAGAACCTAGTACTGTTTTTTGGGGGAGAAAGATCGTTTCTGTCTGAATGGAGGCAAATAACGCCACTTTTCACCATTCTGGCCATTTAATCATTCTCCTTTGGCTTGCTCCCTATGGAATGGAATGGAATATAGCAGTGGTGGCGAACCTACGGCACGGGTGCCAGAGGTGGCACTCAGAGCCCTCTCTGTGGGCACGCGCGCTGTCGCCCCAGTCCTAGGCCTTCAGCTGGGTTTTATAAAACCTTTTCACTTTAGGCCTCCGCCGCCGTGTGCAAAAAAAAAAAAAGGTTCAATCAATCAGTCAATTTCAACTTCTTGCGGGGAAAAAAAGATCTTGCAAAGTTGGAATTGATTGAACTTTTTAGTCCCACCCAGTCTGCTGTTACCACTGTGGCCATGCCCACCCAATGGCCACATCCACCCAATGGGCCACACCCACCCGGCACCCGACGATGCATAAGTGGGTTTTGGGTTGCAGTTTGGGCACTCGGTCTCTAAAAGGTTCACCATCACTGGAATATAGGATATAGAATGGAGTGGAATGGAATGGAGTGGAGTGGACAGAGTTGGAAGGGACTTTGGAGGTCATCTAGTTCAACCCCCTGCTCAGGCAGGAAACCCTATACCGTTTCAGACCAACAGCTGTCCAGTCTCTTCTTAAGAATTTCCAGTGTTGGAGCATTCACCGCTTCTGGAGGCAGGTTGTTCCATTGGTTAATTGTTCTAACTGTCAGGAAGTTTCTCCTTAGTTCTAGGTTGCTTCTCTCCTTGGTTAGTTTCTACTAATCCAGCATTCCTTTTACTTATTTATTTTTCTCATTTTTGAACCTCCCTCAGGTTCAAAAAAATGTTAAATTATAACTATTGGTGACCACGGTGTAAAAAAGATGTTGAGACTCTATAAAGAGTGCAGAGAAGAGCAACAAAGATGATCAGGGGACTGGAGGTTAAAGCATATAAGGAACGGTTGCTGGAATTGGGTCTGTCTAGTCTAATGAAGAGGAGGACGAGGGTGGTCATGATAGCAGCCTTCCAGTATCTCAGGGGCTGCCCCAAAGAAGAGGGAGTCAAGCTATTCTCCAAAGCCCCTGAAGACAGGACAAGAAGCAACGGATGGAAACTCATCAAGGAGAGAAGCAACCTGGAATGAACGAGAAACTTCCTGACAATTAGAACAATTAACCAGTGGAACTCCTTGCCTCCAGAAGTTGTGGGTGCTCCATGTCTGGAGGCTTTTAGGAAGAGACCAGACAGCCATTTGACTGAAATAGTATAAGGTTTCCTGCTTGAGCAGGGGGTTGGACTAGAAGACCTCCAAGGTCCCTTCCAACTCTGTTAATCTATGTCAGGGGTGTCAAACTCAATTTCATTGAGGGCCGCATCAGCATTGCGGTTGCCCTTGGGGGGCCGGGTGGGTGTGGCCAGAGTGGGTGCAACCTACTGGGTGGGCATGGATGGAGTGGGTGTGGCCTACTGGGTGGGCGTGGCCAGTTCTACATCGTTTGCGTCAAGGGTGCCTGTGGGGGCAGGAGTGGGACAGATCTGAGGGTCTCTGGCAGAAGGGGGTGGGACCGGGGCAAGGGCCAAGGCATGGTCCACCGGGGCAAGTGCCAAGATGGCCAAGGCCAAGGCAGCAGGGGCTGTTCCCTCACTGTTTCCAGGATGGCTTCGCGGGCCACATGAAACTATTTCGCAGGCCTCATCCGGCCCCCGGGCCTTGTGTTTGACATGTCTGGTCTATGTTCTGTTCTGTGTTCTACTGTCCTGTCCACAACTGAGTATCTTTCTTGATGTCTACTCAGGTAATTACAGGCAAGAATGTTTAACCTTAGGCACATAGCCTGCAGCTAACCATGGCCTCTGCCTTTTCATTTTCCCCTCGCCCTCCGCTCAGGTGCCACCATGTCGGCCGTGATCCTCACCGCCTGCATCATCTGGTGCGTGTGCTCCATCAAGTCCAACCGGCACAAAGACGGCTTCCACCGCCTACGGCAGCACCACGACGACTACGAGGACGAGATCCGCATGATGTCCACCGGCTCCAAGAAGTCGCTCCTCAGCCACGAATTCCAGGACGAAACGGACACGGAGGAGGAAACAGTTTACTCCAACAAACAGTGATCTTACCCCGGGCAGGGAACTTCCCCTGCGGAGACGACGTTTCACCCCACGGAGCATCGTTCCCAGCCGGCGGACCCGGAACGCGCCACCTTCCAAACCTCAGTTCTCGGTTCAGGCCCATATGTCTGCTTATGCACAAGGAGGCCGTTCCTGGACTGCTGGCTGCTTTTTTCTATTTGGGATCAGAAGTGGACCCCTTTGGGCAAAACAGACACGCTGATCACGGAAGCCGCCACGGAGCTGCTGGCTTTTCTAGTACTTTGAGAAGTTTTGCTTTAAACCAGTCTAAATGCTACTTGGGGGCGGGGGGAGTAACACACTGCCTACCAAGGCTTAGTCTAAGTTGCTGATCCACTGCAGCCTATGGACAGTTGGAACTTACTTTCTTTCTTTCTTTCTTTCCTTCCTTCCTTCCTTCCTTCCTTCCTTCCTTCCTTCCTTCCTTCCTTCCTTCCTTCCTTCCTTCCTTCCCGCCTGGAATCCTCTTCAGAGTTGGTTTCGAACTCTGCGTTAAAAGCGACAAACCTTCCCCTCGTGATTATGGGGAGTAAAATTCCTTCAGGTTAGGTCTCCTGGGCAGATGCTGTCTCCAGATTATGTGTTGAGATACGGGGAAATTCTCCCTCTCCAGTTGAGGTTGCAAGTTGTGGGGTTGTTTTTTTTCCCCCAAAAAACCACAATTTTCTGCTGGTTTTCTTTGGGAATATAGAATAGCAGGAGGTCCATTTCTATAACTCCGGATAAGCCGAATACTAATTGGGTTTTGAAATGACAGCTTGGTGCCAAATGTTGCTCTGTAATTTATTTTTGGAGTCTGCGGAAGCCTCCAGCGGAGTGCCGGTTTGTTTGACAGGAGCTGCAGTCTAGAAAGTACTTTCCATTAGAAAAAAAATCTTGCTTTGAAAGCATCCAGCCACTTTTTTTCAGGAAAATGCCTTCCCCCCCCTTTTTTTTTTTTTTTTTCAACATTCAGTCTCTAACTGCAGTCTCTGCTCTTCTGTCAAGACTGAATTTTTGTGTGGAATTACATTATGCTGTTCTCAAGATTCTTTTTTGAACTAGGCCCCAACTAAGTGGGTCTGTTCTGGAAGGAAGGTAGCAACTGGTTACTTGTTCCTCACGTTATATGGTGCATAAGTTTAGCCTTTGATTCTTGTAGCACTTGGGTGTGAAAATGTTAAAAAGAGGGGCTTAAATGTTGGAGAAGAGTGAGAAGCTGTTGTACAGCTGATTAAGTACTAGTCTTGGACTAGGAGACCCATCTTTAAATAAGATCATTTTCCTATTTATGCATTGGGGAGTTAAATCCCACCATTCCTTGATTAGGGTAGCATGTGGGATGAGGATATAGTTGAACACATTATCTGCCACTCCAAAGAACTGGAAAGGGATCTAGATGGAATCTAAGATTCTTCTTACTACCCCAAAGTTTAACCTCAGATTCCTCATCTCTTAAAACTTGTTTCGATGGCTTATCCAGACGCTTGGTTGTACTCATAAGGATTTCTCAAAAAGAGTTTTAATTCCCTTTTGAAAATGTCAAAGCCACTTTAAAACCGGGGCGTTTATAATAACTTGTTGGATTCTGCTCGTCGTTCCCAGGAAATTCACGGGACAGATAAATACATTTTTGGGATCAAGATGCTAAAAGCTTAGGCTACCTTGTTGAACATAACAAATTGTGGGTCTTCTCTCCAAACTCATGAAAATAATTGAAGCTGGTCAGTTTATTTTAGTCCTTCCCATCTGCTGGAAATTATGCAGTACTAAACCAAGTGCCTCAGTTTATTAGCGTTATTAATTATCCTGGTACATCCAGGCCATTAGATTGTCATCAGGTTCAAGCGATGTGCGTTCTGCTTTAATTCAGCTCTGCTGCTGCTTCTCATCCAATGACCTGTTAAGAGATTTCTTTGAAATGAAGCTGGATAGTAACTGGGCCCAAGTCCCTAAATTGCTATTTTGGGGGTTTGAGATAGGTTTCTTTAATCCAGGGGTTCTTCCAACTTGGCCCCTTTGATGACTTGTGGACTTCAACTCCCAGAATTCCTCAGCCAGGCACTTGTGCCTGGCTGAGGAATTCTGGGAGTTGAAGTCCACAAGTCATCAAAGGGCCAACTTGGAAGACCCCTGCTTTAATCTATATTGCAATGGCCTTTATCCTCTTCATAACCTGGTTCAAAATTATTATTATTATTTTAAAAAAAGGCAGTTCAGAATCTCTGGACGAAATTTGCCAGCAATAACTGGTGCGTTGAGCACCGGCCACGGCATCCTTGCCTCTTGTTCAAATCTAGACCGAAACAAAACTTTGGAAGCCGGCCCCGTCAGCGTTTCACAGGTGGCTGCATCTTTCTGGGTGGTAATTACACATTTTTGTTTTCCTTAATTAAAACAGGATGGCTGCCCTTTTTGTATAACACTAAGAGGCAGCCTTAGCCTCTGTGGCATAGGAGAATAAATTGCAGCTTACCTGTGTGTGTTTGCCACTTTGATTTGGAGGGGAGGGAGGGAGGGAGGGGTCCGTGTACCGTGCCTTCAGAAGTAGATGTTGAAAGGAAGGGCTTGAACTTAGGAATGCAAACCAATTACTGTCGCCCGACAACTTGAAGGGTCTGTGCGTCAAACAAGAGACTTCTGCAAGTGTGAAAATTGATTAAAATGTATGCTAATCTGTATAAAGGTCCTTTTCTGGTTTCTCTCCTTCCTGTGCTTTATTTGCTTCCTCAGCGACATCCCTTAGGATGTAATAATAAGGACGAGGGGGGACATAAGAGCAGTTTTCCAATATCTCAGGGGCTGCCCCAAAGAAGAGGGAGTCAAGGTATTCTCCAAGGCGCCTGAAGGCAGGACAAGAAGCAACAGATGGAAACTGATCAAGGAGAGAAGCAACCTGGAACTAAGGAGAAACTTCCTGACAGTTAGAACAATTAACCAGTGGAACAGCCTGCCTCCAGAAGCGGTGAATGCTCCAACACTGGAAGTTTTTTTTTTATTAAAATTTTTATAAAAATTACAATATAAACCCCCATACCCACCCCCAAGCTCCCCCCTCCCCCTCCCTCACTTCCCAAAGCTGAACACAGGGTTACAAATATAATAATCATAATCTAACTAACATTAACCAACTATTTAAGTAACCAAGTCCATAACACGCTTTAACTCCCCTTTAACATAAATTTAAACAAATTAAAATTAAAACCAATAATAAACAAATTAACAACCTAATTGTTAAAACAATACAATATTAATACTAAAAATAATATCATATAATTAAAACTAACAAAAAAAAAAATTCCACTATAATAAACTATTAATAATAATAATACTCTAAAATTTACTCATAAGCCAAATGGAACTTTTTAGTCCCTTATTTGTTCTGAATATAATCTATCCATCTTCTCCGGACCGAAATGTATCTTTCTTGTGAATGATCCTTCAAATAAGCAGAAATCTTGGCCAGTTCTGCTAAATTTGACACTTTAAGCGTCCATTCTTCTATAGTAGGCAAGCAATCCTTTTTCCAATATTGCCCAACCAATAACCTTGCAGCTGTTATCAAATTCAACATCAAATTAATTTCTTTGGTATCAGCATCTGTAATAACACCCAGTAGAACACTGGAAGTTTTTAAGAAAAGACGACAGCCATTTGTCTGAAATGGTATAGCGTTTCCTTCCTGAGCAGGGGGTTGGACTAGATGACCTCCAAGGTCCCCTCCAACTTTATTATGATTATAGGAAACCCTATACCATTTCGGACAAATGGCTGTCCAGTCTCTTCTTAAAAACTTCCAGTGTTGAAGCATTCACCGCTTCTGGAGGGAAGTTGTTCCACTGATTTAATTGTTCCCACAGTCAGGAAATTTCTCCTTAGTTCCAGGTTGCTTCTCTCCTTGCTTAGTTTCCATCCGTTGCTTCTTGTCCTGCCTTCAGGCGCTTTGGAGAATAGCTTGACTCCCTCTTCTTTGGGGCAGCCCCTGAGATACTGGAAGACTTACTATCCTGTCCCCCCTCGTCCTTCTCTTCATTAAACTGGACATACCCAATTCCAGCAACCGTTCTTTGTATGTTTTAGCCTCCAGACCTCTAATCATCTTCGTTGCTCTTCTCTGTACTCAGAGAAATTATGTATATAAATTATGTATATAATTTCTTGCTGGTTTTTCTACCTTTTTGGCAAATTTGTCTGAAAGTGACTCCAGAGAGAGACACGTCCACATTTTTCTCTGCCAGTAGAGGCACAGTCTGGAATATCTGTACATAACCGTAGTCCTCGCTTTACGGACACAGTTGAGCCCAAAAAGTTCTATTGCTATGCGAGACAGTTGCTAAGTGGGTTTTGCTCCGACTTTTGCCACCTTTCTTGACGCAGACGTTAAGTGAATCGCTGCCATTGTTAAAAGTTTGTCACACGGTCATTAAGCGAATCTGGTTTGACCCATTGACTTTGCCGGTCAGAAGGTCGCAAAAGGGGATCACATGACCATGGGACACTGCAACCGTCATAAATTCGAGTCGGTTGCCAAGCGTGTGAGTTTTGATCACGTGGCCCTGGGGACGCCGCAACGGTTGTAAGTGTGACAATGGTCCTAAGTCAACTGTTCAGTGTCGTTTAGGTTACTAAACGAATGGTTATAAGTCAAGGACTAGCTCAGGGGTAGGCAACCTTGGCTCTTTTATGACTCGTGGACTTCAACTCCCAGAATTCCTGAGCCAGCATGGCTCAGCTTGGACACCTCTCCCTTTCCCCTCAGCATGGCTGGCTCAGGAATTCTGGGAGTTGAAGTCCAAGAGTCATGAAGGGGGCCATAGTTCCCCCATGCTGGCTCAGGAATTCTGGGAGTTGAAGTCCACCAGTCATGAAGGCCATAGTTCCCCCTACTGGCTCAGGAATTCTGGGAGTTGAAGTCCACCAGTCATGAAGGGGGCCATAGTTCCCCCATGCTGGCTCAGGAATTCTGGGAGTTGAAGTCCACCAGTCATGAAGGGGCCATAGTTCC